GGGCAAAATGCCAGCCCTTTTGCTGAAACTAGGGATGTGAATACGTAACGGGTTAACTGGTAAAAATCACCCTTACTGGGTGATACTTTATTGGGTAACAATTAACCAGTGCCTGGGAGCTTCCCCCCAGCCCTGTTGGGCTCATTGCACCATAAGCCAGAGCAAAGCCAGCAGCCCCCTATAGAGACAGGAGTCCTGCAAGTAGTCTTCCCTATCCCACTTAATCAGTTAACCAATTAAACCTGGTTAACTAATGAAACGGGATTTTACATCCCTAGCTGAAATATGTTCAGGCTGCATCCTGAACTGTGTAACTGGCCTCCTTTTAACAGAGTGTCTTTCTCTCTGAATGTCTGCAGAGCCAACAAAAAGCTACCCAAGTATTTTTCCAATTATGCTGAGATTTTCCACCAAAGAAAATTGGTACAATGCCATCTATCACAAGTTTTACAGAAAGCTCTTGACAAGTACCATATACCAGTTATTCCAGATGCATTATTCATGAAAGACATCAGCTGTATGAATCAAGTAATATCCCATTTATCAGTATATTCCTAAACAACTATAAAATATTTCAAAATGACATTTGATCAAATGAAATAACATTGGCCATAATGTGCAATAGGGTTTCAATATGGCCTCAGGATTTCTATTCCCATACGTAAAAACGAAAGCATTACAAAGGGATTTAGTGATCACCTGCTGCTAGAAGTGCAGTCCCAGTTATCTCAAAGCATTGATCATTTGTGGGATCAAAGAGACCATAAACTCCAGTCCAAAAACTGGGCACAAGTGCTGTCAGGAGTGTTCCCCACACTGGTACTCTAAATGTAGAAGATGGGGGCCCACAAAGAGCTCCAAACCTTGCCTCTACAGAAACTGGTTATCAATTTCCCCCCAGAATCACAACACACAGATTTTGGAAGATTTGCTGCCACCATCAAGTGCCTTTTATCTCTAAAATCAGGGGTGAACACTTCAAATCACTCCCCAGGGGTACCTCAAGCTCTTTTGCCCCAAAAGAGCTTGCAAAAAAGAAAAGAGAAAAAACAAGCTGCAGTCTCTGGTAGCTGACCCCTCAGTCTGAGGCATGCAGATACACACAGGCATGCAAATACAGACAAGACCCTCCAGAACACAAGAATCAAATCATCACCTTAAAAGAAGTGATGTTTATTACAAAACAAAAGATAAACTTGATAAAGCATACTTGATTGCTAGATGATTCAGAGCAACTAAGGAAAACAAATTAAAACAGAGAAAATCTCTGCCACAATGCTTAGATAGTAAGAGGGTAGGGGAGGCGTAGAAGCACACAGAGCAGTGCAAACCAAACCACAAAATAAGGAAATTTACCTTGAACATAACTGGCCTCCAAATTCCCTGTTACTTCTCATTTTCTCTTTGTTCAGTCCACTCCCATGCCCTGAATTCCATGAGATATGGTAGTCCTGCCTGGGTTTAAATAATTCCTTGTCTCAACTCCTGGTTTCTCTCTCCCACAGAAAGAAAGCAGGAAGGGACCCTATATCCAATTCCAACTTCAACCCTCTATCTCGACTGGTTCTCCGAGGCCAACACCTTTACTAGGTTCCTGAGCTTAACCCTTTAGTCACCAGGTGCCAGTCAGCATTCCTCCTCCTGTCCATTATAAGGGCCCATTCACTTGTGCCAGGGAACAGAAAAACAGCAAGGAAAACTGCAGGCTCTTTCCAGCTTAAGTGACATGATAGGAAAGACACTGAAAGAGTTGGAAGTGATATAGAGAATGATTATTAGTCAAGGTGATTAGGCATGCATCCCCATGCTGGTGTCCCTAAACCTCGGACTGCCAGAAGCTGGAACTGGATGACAGGGGATAGATCACAAAATATTGCTTCTGCCAACACCACACTCTTCACACTGGCACCTGCCACAGCATAACTTTTGGAGGGAGGGGGGGCAGGGAAGAGAGAGATAAGAGGTAGGGATGTTAAATTGGTGTTTCATCAACTAGCTGATGACTTACGACTGATTAGTCAATAAGGAGAGAAACTGCAGAGCAGCAGCAGGGTTAGCTCCCAGCCCCAGGAACTAACCCCGCTGTGACTCTGTCTTTTAAATGTATTGAGACCCACCAGGAATCAGATGTCCTGACTTGTACCTAGTCCCCCTCCTAACCACCCTGCTTCAGCCTTTTAAACATATTAAGAGCCTGGCAGCTCTTAATAAATTTAAAAAACAGGGGCTGGGACTGGCAGCAAACTGGGAATCAGCTGATTTCCGTCTCATGCATGGTCCCCCGCTACACCTCTGCCTCCCTGATGCCCACGGAGACAGTGCTAGGGGGAACCGCCCTTTAAGCCGGCTCCTCTCAGAACTGGCTCCAGCTCCTGCTCTCCCCTTCACTTGCTGCCTCAGACCTTATATTTATCGGATAGTCAACCAGTCACTTACATAGTTAATAAAGGGTAGTAACTCATATGTGACTAAAACCTCGGTTTAACGGAATACATTTGTTTAGTTAATTGGAGCCATAATAGTTTCAACTATGAAACAATATAGAAGGGCCTTTACCACAGTATTATGATTAGTTTGATGTGTTCACAAATAAAAATCAAATACATAACTGAAGTATCCTTGCTTCTACTAAAACTGTACTTTTAATTAAAACAGGATGCCATATGCATTTCTAATTGTTTTGCTACTCTTTTTAATGAATGAAGTTGCTGTCATGCATTTCTACTGATTATTCCAGATCATGTGCTCTGAAATGCATAAATTAGTTGGATGAGTATGTTTAAGCTACCAGAATAGTGGTAGAAATGTAGCCGTGTTAGTCTGGTGCAGCTGAAACAAAAAACAGGACTGTGTAGCACTTTAAAGACCAAAGTCTTTAAAGTGCTACACAGTCCTGTTTTTTGTTTAAGCTACCAATGAACTATCACTTTTCCAAAATACCAACTGAACTTGAAAACTTTTTATAACAGACTAGGAATGTAAAGGGTTAACCGGTAAGCGGTGAACCAGGAGCCCAGCAGGGCCCACTATCATGTGGGCGGAGGACGGGGGGCACTCCAACCCGGCCTGTCCCAAGCAAGTCACTATAGGTGTACATGTAACACAAATTCCAAACTGCATGCAAGCCATAGAAGTTCTGGATGAAGTCCTATTCTGGACAGCATATATGGAAAGATATAATCCCATTTCTATAAGTAACTGGCTTTAAGTCAAGTGGACAGTTTTTGAAGACATAAAACTAAAATAAATGTTCCAAATTAAAGTGAAACCAGATAAATTAGTTTAATAGAATAGCACCAGAACAAGTGTTATTACAGAGATGTACAAAATTACAAAAGCATAGGAAAAATTATAGAACGAAGGAATTAGCTGTTGGAACAGACTGAAAGTTTGCCACTAAATCCAAACTTCTGGAATTTTTTTTTTTTTAAAAGGAAACCACCACTGAATAAAATTCTGCTTCTACTATACATATTTTCTCTTGTGCAATGTATATATTATAAGAAAACAACTCAGAACTAGTCTTGATAACAGATCAACGGATTTCAAACGTTTTGCCGTTTGCCATTTATTAAGAACTGTTTTATAGAATACAGGCAAGATATAAGTATTTCTTTCATTGTTCTCCTATGGCCATAGTCTTGCTATGAGCTATGGTGAGTGGATCTGTCTGTGTAAAGCCATAGCGTCTAACCAGTTCTGAAGCAGCTGCCACTGTAGTGGCTAAAAGGCCGAGAATCCTTATATAAATATGTTTGTCAGGGTTCCTATAGCACGGGACACACTGACTTGATGGGGCACAAAGAACTTGCCTGGGGAATTGGACTGACTTCTCAGTTGTCAGCTAGAGTTTCAGCTTTTATTAAAAAGGTAAAACTCTAGCCCATGGGGTCCAACCAGTTCTGAAGCAGTGGCCACTGTAGTGGCTAATGCTATAGTGAACTAGACACAGTCAACCAGCCAAATAGCCACATTGTTCAAGCCAACTAGCCACACGCAACTGGCCAAATTGCTATATGTGGCTAGAGTGTTGGACACCATGGGTATAGAGCCTTGAAGTCAATGGGACTCTGCACGTCATAGTGAGCCATGTTTACATGATGCTGGACTGGAGTTTGTCTCTGTCAAACTGAAGTCCTGCTAGATGCAGTAGGAATCGGATGCTAATTTTAGTAAATTAATACTTCTGCTTCCCCACACCTTGC